AGAATGTTGGCTGAGCGCATCTAAGAGGAGGCTGTTTGGTGTCCAGAAGCCCTGAGTCTCACTGTTCGTTGTTTTCAAATCCACTCTCTCTCCCAATTAGGGAGATCAACCACCTGATGTTCCCAGAATTGAGGCGTTTTCCACAGAGCTCAAACTGGGACAGTCCTGGGGCCTACGAGGACCCTTAGTCACTTGACCCAAATCACCCCATGACTCCTGACCTGGCTTCTGGCGTGCCTTCTCAAGAGGTACCTTCCTGGCTTAGGGGCGCCTGGGTGGCTCAGTCGGTTAAGCGTCTGACTTCGGCTCCGGTCATGATGTTGGAGCCCCTTGTCGGACTCTGGGTTGACAGCTCAGAGCCTGGAGCCTGCTTTGGATTCTGTGTCTCCGTCTCTCTCTGCCCTTCCCCCACTCATGGTCTCTCTCTCTCTCTCTCTCTCTCTCTCTCTTAAAATTATATAAACATTTAAAAAAAATTTTTTTTAAAGAGGTACCTTCCTGGCTTGAAATGCACTCTGGTGGAGAAGGCAGTGAGAAGGATGCAAGAGGGCAGCTTGAGTGGGAAGGAAAGAGCCTTCAGACCTGAGCGGCTCAGTCTTCTCATGCCAGCAGAAGAGAAAAGAGATGTCCAGCCGAGGGCGAGTGACACCTGGAGATGCCTTCCAAGCCAAGAGCCTCTGTGTCCCTGGGGGAACAAGGCTTGGAGGAACCAAGCAAATAGAGGGGCAATGCTCCTGCTCCAGGACCCGCCTGGCCCTCTGCTCCCCTTGCCCTCTCCCCTCCCTCTCACTCCCAGCCAGTGCCCCCCACCCCGCCCCGGCTAGCCCCCCCCCTCCGCAGCCTGGCTTCGTTGGAGTCCAGCTCCAAAGCCTTATCCCAAGCCCGCAGCCTTTGGATCTCTTTATTCTGATTCAATTACATACACAATATGAGCTTTGCAAACAGAAAATTACACGCTGCAATAATTGAATTCTTTCCTGGACTTGAAGCTTGCTGGGCTGTGGTGTGGAGCAGCTCCCAGATACCCAGCCTCGCCCCAGGGCCCCACCTTCACTTAGCAAAATAGCTAACATTTAAACACCATTTTATATTAATAGTGCCTCTACCTCCACTATCTCCTTTGCATTTTACAAGTAGGTGAAGTAAGCTTTTACACACCGTGGTTAGTTCTTCCCTTTTTTACGAGTGGGGAAACTGAGGCATAGAGCAATTCTAAGATGTGCTCAAAGTAACGGAGCAGGTGATTGTGTCAGAGCCAAGATCCAAATCTAAGTTTTATGTGACAAATTTCATGGTTTCCCCCCACCCCCAGTCCAGGCTGACTCCCATTTCCTGCCCACCCTAACCACCACATGGGCCTGGCTCTCCTGGTCCCTTGTGATTCATGAGAAAGGGCCCGATTACTTGCCCTCCCTCCTATAAGTCCAGGCCTCCGTGCTATCCAAGAGCCCTGGATATAATCACCATACCCCAAAGCCACTGTTTCTAGACCTGCCAAAACCCCCATAAGCAAAGATCACGGTGGGCAATGCAAGAGAGGATGCTCTTTCCCGTCTACCAAATCTGTCCCCTGTAGGACCCACATGACAACTACGTTTTCATTCATTGTTCCTGCCCTTACTGCTGCTGGTGTCACGAAGGTTGATGGAGCAGGTGCTCTGGGCTGGGCATTTCTCTCATTTGGTCCTCCCGGCAAATGAATAAAGCTATGATCATTTCTGTTTTGGAGATGAGCAACCGGGGCTTAGAGCAGCCAAAAAAACTTGTCCAAGTCTCTATTGGAAATAGGGACTAGAACCCAGGCTCGCCAACTGCAGTCTATGCTCTTAACCACAGTGCCGCATGGCTGGCTGGAGGCATGGCCCCTTTCTTCCTTGCTGGTTCAGATCAACCTCCCCTTTGCACTGGGCTATTGAACTCCTTTCCTCATGGTCTCCTTGACTTTGGTCTTAGGTTCACTAAATCCATCATCTGTACTCAGCTGGTGGGTGACTTAAACATCTCTAACAAGGCTCCAAGAAAAACGCCATATTTCCCAACTGCTCACAGAAAAAAAAAGTTTGCACTCTGTGAGGCACTGGCAGGTGCTCTGTGATTCCTGTTTCTCTCCTGATTCCTACCTTCTGCCTTTTCGGCTGCGTCGTATTCCCTAGCTATGCTAAACTGCTCAGAATTCCTTTATTGCAAACACCAGGAGGTTTCACACCTCAGTGTTTTTCACTTAGGCTTCTCCTCCTCCTCGGAGTTCCCGTCCCACTTTTCTGTGCTGGGCTTAATCTTACTTCTTCATCAAGACTCAGCCTAGGCATCATCGTCTCCAGAAAGCCTTTGCCGAATCTCAGGTGGGCTAAGTCTCCTTTGCTATGATTCCATAGTCCCCCGTGTGCACTGTCCTAAGAGGACACATTACTTGTTCATGTGTTGGTGACCTGTAGCCCTGCCCTCCAATCCTGGACTGCAAGCTCATTATCCAGGGACTGGATTGTTCTCTCTGTGTGCCCCAGCAGCTAACACAGTTCCTGGCTCACGGTAATCACTCATGACCTGTCTGTCGAAAGTCTTTAAATCACTACATTTAGCTGATGACACTACATGCATGATCATGTCCTCTTAAATACCTAACCCCGGAAGATTTCCCATGATTCCTGACACCCTGAATATAAAAGGAACTATTTTACCAAATGGCCTGGAGTTGTATGTACCAATGGGAACTCTGTTTCTTAGAGATGAAGAAAAATTCTAGAATAAGAAAGTCTCTTCTTACACATCAACTGACTTTACACTGATTTCCTTAGAGGGTCCTAGAAAATGGGAAGGAAAGTTTGAGATAGTACAAAGTTAACCTGTCAGTCTGAGGCTACTCTGACAGGCCTAGCCAACAAGTCAGAGAAACAAGTCTTCTTTCGGCTAAGAATATGCCAGGCATTATTGTCATAAAAGGAAACCTGGAAAAATGAAGACATTTACCACGCTCCTGATATAGAAGATTCAATATTGCAAAGATGTCAATTCTCCCCAAATAGATCTATAAATATTTAATGCACTTCCAATCAAGATCCCAGTAAGGTTTTTCATAGAACCTGACAAGCTAATTTTGAAATCCATATTGAAACATAAATATCAAGAAAATCAAGATAATTAAAAGAAAGAAAAAGGAAAGGAGATGTGCTCTCTCAGATATCAAACATACTATATATTTATAATAAAACTCTGTGGTATTGACTCAAAAATAGGTAAGCAGGCTGAAAGACTAGAATACCAACTCTAGCACATAGTAGACACTGAATAAATATTTGTCAGGTAAATAAATAAGGGTGGAATTTCACATCAATTGTGGTGGGACAATTGACTATTCATTAGGGGAAAAAATAGAGGTAGATTCTACCAGTCACAAAAATCAATTCCAAATAGCTTAAAAACCAAAGCATAAAGATATTCATAATATTTAAAAGAGACTATAGGACAATTTGTTTATGACCTTAGGGTAAGGAGGGCCTTCTAAATAAATGAAAATATGCAAAATATATAGAGCAGGGGTTGGCCCACCACCTATCTTTATGTAAAAATAGGGACACAGACACATCTGTTGTATGCATTGTTTTGGGCTGCTTTTGTGCTACCGTGGGAGTTGAGTGGTTGTGACAGAGACAGTAGATCTCATGAAAGTGAAAATATTTACTGTCTGGCCATTTCTAGAAACTGTGCTGACCCCCGACACAGCATGAAAAGATTGATAAATATAACTATATCAAAAATTAAGGGGCGCCCGGGTGGCTCAGTTGGTTAAGCGTCAGACTCTTGGCTGCAGCTCAGGTCATGATCTGTCGGTTTCATGAGTTCAAACCCCTCTGCACTGTCAGTGAAGATCCTGCTTGGGATTCTCTCTCTTTCTCCCTCTCTGTCTTCCTCTCCCCCACTCTCTCTCTGTCTCTCTCTCTCTCTCTCTCAAAAAAAAAAAATTAAAACTTAGCTGTCACAATGATGCTATGAACTAAGTTGGAAGCGTAAAACACAGACTTGAAGAAAATATTTTCAACATATAATAACAGACAAGAGATTATAAGTATTGAGGTTATGTGAAGACAGCTTACAAATTAAGGAGTCACTCTAACAAGAAAAAGACGATTACCCCCCTAGAAGGGTGGGCAGAAGATATGAACAGGAAATTCACAGAAGACATTAGTATGGTTGATAGAAACCCAAAGAGATACTCAACCTCACTGGTTTTATCACCCAAGGCCCCAGCAAGAAATAGAGGGTGAAATTAGGCAATTTGAAGAAAGTTTAATAAAGGGACCATTTACAGAGGTGTGGACCAGATTTAAATAAACAGACAAGGGATCCTGGGCCAATAATTTTATACCATGTGTATTTTGTGTTATATATATTTACCACAATTAAATAGCATGTATGTCCTCCTCCTCCAAAAAGCATTAAAAAGCCAACTGTGTGGTGTTTTAAAATATTCAAATATAAAGGCACAGACAGGTTGAAAATAAAAGATGCAAACTGCAAAGAATAAGCAGAAGAAAGCAGGCATGGCTATATTTCTATCAGAAAAAAACAGATTTTGAGACTAAAATATTACTGGAAATAAAGACATTAAATGGTGGGTCAGTCCATCAAAAAAAAAAAAAAAACACCCTAAATAATCTTAAGTGTCTGTGTACCTAATAACAACAGAGCTTCCCATATAGAAAGTGACAATTGACAAATCTAAATGCAGAAATAAAGAAATCCACAGGTATAGTTTTTCACAACTTCCTCTCAATAACTGATAGAGCAAATAGCAAAACAACGCCAGAGACACGCATAATTTGATACACTGGAAGCTATTGCCACCTCAAGGCTTGAAGGTCCAAGACAAAGAGTAGAAATCTGGGAGTACTGTATGGAGAGAGCTGATGACAGCAACTGTCCAGGGTGCATTAACCCACTGGGACCTGGCAGAGAAGGAAACAAAGGAATACAGTCCTCACCTTCATTCTCCTCCTGTCCTCTGAACCTTCTATTGGCTGAATCCAGCTGGAAGATGAAGGACAAGGAGCCTGTTGGAATAGTCCTTCAGGCCAGCTTCTTAGAGAACGGGGTAGAGAGATGTGGGGAGTGGATCTGGAAGGGCCAAGTGAAGATATTCACACCCATAATCCATGAAAATGATTATCACAGCAACAGTGAGATGCCCCTTTTAACCCACAAAAATGGTAAATATTTGTCAAGTGTGAGTGTTGTGAAACATACTCTCAGACACTGATGAAGAAATTTGGTCAGCTGCTTTGGAGTCCAATTTTTCAACTTCCTTTTAATTTTAAGTATGCATATATTATACCCCAGCAATTTCACTTCTCTGTATCTAGAGAAACAGTTGTACTATTGCACAAAGAGGTATGTACAAATATGTCCATTGCAGTATTTTTTAAAGTGAGAAATGGAAAACATCCCAGATTCCTATCAGTTGAGGAATAAATTATATTATCTTTAAATAAATTGCATTGTAGTCATATGACAGGATAATATGCATTAGTTGAAAAGAATAGGATTGGTTCTAATATATACTATTATGGGTAGCTCTCCAGGAGGTATTATTGAGTGAAAAATGGAAGCTGTAAAATAATAATGTGTATGGTATTTTATTTATGTAAAACATGCAAAATAATCATATATTTTATATGATAAGACATTTACATCAATGTAAATTTGTGGCCATAGTCTAAAAGGATATGTATGTCATGATTACGAGAAGATGGTCAATTTTTTAATAAGAAGAATGTATTTATTTTTTGTTTGTGAGGTTAAAAATTCATTACCACCACTATCACCACCAGTGGCAACAAAGCCAGAAAACTAGCCGTGTTGGAATGCTCTCATATGGAATTCTCTCATATGAAGCCTTCTGGTTCCGTCTATCAGAATTCCTCCCTCCCGTGCACCATCTGGACCACAAATCTCTGTTCTAGCATGTGCCACAGTTGGCCTTACACTAGGGTTCATGGTTTATGTGTCTGCTTTCCCTTCTGGACTATAATCTCCTTGAGTCCAAGGACTGTGCCTTTGTGGTGGGCACTCTTTGCTTTCTCTTCTCATCTCTGTCCTCTTTCTGCCAACTGTTCGACTTAAGTCCAATCCATAGGTGACAGCAGTGCCCTCCGGGAACGACGCTTGTCAGTAACAAGTACCTGGGCAACTGGCCCAAGTTGGACCAATTAGTGTCCCTTTCTGGAAAATGAGGACCTGGGAGAGAGAGAAGGCTAAACCTACAATATGTCAACTGCCATGTTCTCAACTTCAGGGACAGGAGAAGCAGACAAAGCTAGTTCTGAAGAGAAGGAAAGAAGGAGAATCAAAAGACGTGCAGAAGGGAGCAAAAATCTGAACTCTGCTGGTGTTTGAGGACCTGACTCTGCCTTGCTTCAGCAGCATCTCTCTGTCCCTTTATGTAAAGTCGTCCCTGCATCTTTATAAATGTCCACAGTTTTGACTAACATCTCCAGTTGGTTTCTGTCGCTTGTAACCCGGAGAATTCTAATTAATAGTGAAGAGCTATGCCCTTTTGCATCTCCTACTGTACCTACCTCAGGGCAGAGCCTGCTTCCTAGTGGGTCCTCTCAACAACCATTTGCTGAAATGGACCAAAGGAGGCATTATTCCTGCCACAGGCCCTGCACGGGTGCCCACCTGGCCTCTGTTTCATACTTGCAGTGATTGTGGTTCACCACCTCCCAAGACACCCCATCCCACCGATGGGGCAGCTTGAACACCTCCATGTCCTCTCTGTCATGACAGCTCTGCAAATGGGAAGTCTCCTCTTTTCCCAGCTTCACCTAATTTTCCCCATAAGGCACCTCTTCCACACCCTTCTTTCCCTGATCACACTCCTCACAACAAACCCCCGTTTGTCAGCGTCACTCTTAGAAGGAAGTGCCCCAAACTGACTCTTCAGACTTCAGGCTCTGGCGGCCTGTGAGTGATGGGCAGGGCTGTGGGATGCCACAGGGCTGAGCCACAGGGCTGAGAGTCAGTAAGGGGCTGTATTATGTTGCTGAGGATTTAAAAAAGAATTATTCCGTGTAGGGAACTACTTGGAAATTGCTCCGATGTATAAACTCTTTGCTATTAAAGGTGAGTGGGAATTGTGTTGATACAGAATTTGGTGTGCTGATGTGAAACCCTGAGTACAAAGTGTTACCACAGCGGGAGGCACACGTCCCCCCAGGCAATCCCACAGTCCCTCCGTGACTCTGAATCACTCATACTTGAGGGGCAGCTGGCATCCCTCAAACTTGGAATTGAACTGCGGACACTACAAAGTCAAGTGGGAAGCAGGCTTGTCAGAGCATCCTGGAGCTGGGAGGATACTCCAGAAGGGATCACCTAGCCTAATCCCTTCATTTTACAGCTAAGCCACCTTAAATCCATTCTGGAACCTGTGGGACATTAATAAATTAATAATTAATTAATAAATAAATAAAATAAAGTCAATTTTACCTATGAGGAAGCTAACCCAAGGTGGTCCGATGGCTAACCCAAGAGCATGCGGCAGGCTGGGAGTTCACAGTTCTTTCCTCCACACTTACTGGTCTGTGGGAGGGAGCTGCCAGCCCATTAGGGGCAGCTCTTAGGTGCAAGGAAGCGTCTCATCTTCTCTTTGAGGACAGCAGGCACAGACTAAGGGCCATTTGTTAACAGCCAGAAATCTAGAAGCAGCTGAACTAATCAAAGCTTGCAATTAGGGAGCATCCATCAGCCAGACTGCCCACCCAAGAACTGGTTTCCCGGCCTGCCCCCTTCCCCACAGGAAGCACGACAAATCAAATCAATATTGGAGTTAAATTCTTCCCTCTTCTTAAATGTTGCATCTGTGAGAGTGTAAGGGATGGCAATCGATTAGAGCACAGTACGGGCTTTATGTGCACGTGCAAATCTCTTAACTTCTCCAGAGACTCCAGAACCTCACCTTCTCCTGCAGTAAGCCTTTAGGAAACAGGGAACAGTTGTCTCTCGGTGCAGTGACCAGACAGAACATGCCATGCTCTCTCTGATGACTTTTCTAAGTTCCATGGGGGAGAACTTACCTATTTGACCAGGAGAACAATCAAACTCTTTATCTACAGTCGCCACATACGGTGAAAGCTGCAGGCTGTTTGCAGTGTAGAGGGGTGTCTGAGGAACAGCCCTGGTCAGCTCCCTCCGGGTTCCTCAGCATGGTTTAAGGGTGGCTGGAGATAAGCACAGTTCCCGGAGACGAGTTTAGATCCCTCTGGAATTCCAAAGGTCTGAAACTTCATTTCCTCCCCAAGAAGTGACAGATGAGAAGGACACTATAGGGGTTTTGGAAAACAAAACGTGTAAATTATGTAACAGCTCACAATGGAAATAATCGGGGCAGCAAGAGAGTTGGCCAAATCCAGAAGGTACTAGACAACAAGTCTAGCCTGAAGAATTCAAAGTCCGGGAGAAGCCATGTGTCCAATCCCACGCCGGCTTCTGACTTCCCCGTTGCCCTACGGGCACCCTTTCCAAAGGGAATACCTCTTCCGTTCGCGGCTTTGCTTGGGTGCCCAGTTTCCTAGTGTCTTTCAAAAATAACATTTATCTGGCTTTGAAGGTCTTATTCTGGGGACATTTCTTATTTTCCTTCTTTCTTCTTTCAAAAAGAAAGAAAGAAAGAAAGAAAAAAACAGCAGCTTTGACTAGTCTGAGGGTGACACGAACGCCTGATTTTTATGCAATGTTGCAAGTGCCTTTCAGCAACACAATGGCAGGCTCTTTGACAATGTCATGCGTCTATTCAAAACAAGCGGCATGCCAGTCAGAGGCCTGGGCGTTTGCACAGTGCTTGTTCTCCGTAGTGATAAGGCATGTTAGATTTTCCCATTCTATTTGAGAAATAATTCTGGTCTTTTTTAAGTCCCCTGCTTTTTTGATTATTTTTTTTTTCTTGCCTCTTTGCCGAACAATAGGACCTGTCCCTGTTTGATTCCTTCCGTGATGCCTGTGCGGTAACAACTTGAGAAAGAGAGAAAAGGAGAGTGGGGACAGGGCTGGGGGTTGAGGGGGGGTAGAATGTGATGGCTTAACAGCCCTGCCAGGTGCTGGCCAGGAGAGGGACAGCGGGAAGGAGGGGCTGGGAGATTAGCACCGATAATTTTGTTGGGTCGATTTGTACAGCTCCTTTTGTTGGAAGCCAAGGTATGTAGGAGGATGGGTTAATTATCTAGCGGGCGTCCTGCTCCCTGGCTGGTCTACCACAGCTAATCCTCTCTCCCTTTAGCAGGTATGCAGCACCAAGAGTGGGAACGTCTGCTTCCTTCCCCTGCTGGAAGCATGATGGATAAAAAGAGGGAAAAAAAAAAAAAAAAGAATGGGGACAGGGATAAGAGTTGGGAGGGTGTGAAGTCATCCAGCTTTGCAAATGGAGAGAAAAAGTCCCCACCTACCTTCTCTCCCCAGCAGGTTCCCCCAGCTAGGATTTGATGTCTTCAAATAGACATGCCCTCCCAACTGGGGTTAGCAGTTGGCTTTTGCTGTGTAATAAACCACGTCGAAACTTAGTGGCTTCAAACAATCACCATTTCCTTCGATCACAATTCTTCAGAGCAATTCTGGGCTGGGCTGGGCTGATCTCAGCTGGGCTCACTGATGTGCGGGTGGGTTGACTGGAGACTGGCCCAGACGGCCCCATCACACCCCTGGTGGTTGGCTAAAGCCATGAGGGTGACCGGGCCATGTGTCTGTCACAATCTAACAGGCTAGTCTGGGAAGCTGCGCTCCAAAAATAGTGACAGGGCAACGCCAGAAGTGTGCGTAAGTTTTCAAGCCCCTGTTCGCATTGGGCAAAGTCATATGGCTACACTCAGGCCATTAGTCATATGACCTACTCAGGTCAAGGAGTGGGGAAACAGTTTCTGGACTCAGCATCAAAACCAGAGGGGAACAGTCTGTGGCCGTTCTTTCTTTCATCTGCTACAGCTTGAATAGCCTCTCTCCTCTTTCCCCCGAGCCCCCGCGAAGACACATACACTAATGTTTGATTTACACACCCGGTTCAAAGCTCCAGGAGAGCTTCTGTCTCGAATGCAATGCCAAAGCATGCTCATGCTCTTCACTGTCTCTGCATTTCTAATAACTTGTACCTGTCCTTTTGCTATTCCTCCCTTTCACCTTCCTGGCAGGATTTTGGAGCTAGCCTAAACTCCCTGTTTTGTGAATGGGGCACTCAGGGCCCAGGAAGGAGGAAGGGTGTGAGCACTGTTGCCCGTCCCATCGGTAGAATGCCTGAGACCCCCAACTCCCCAGTTCTAAGGCCCCATATCAGACACCTCAGGAAACTGCTGCACGCCTTTCCTCTACCACACAGAAGTAATGTTGTGCGTGTGTGTTTACGCCCTATCTATTACCAGAAAAGGATTCAATGTGATTTCCACACCAAAACACAAAACAAAAGGAACAGAGCAGAGCCTTGAAGGGATGTAGAAACAGTTGATGTTCTCAGGCTCCTGAAATGAGTAGATTATACCATTTGGGCAGATTTACTCTGGATTTGCTGGCAGCTGAGGCAAAGGACAGATATTCATTGAGTTATATAGTTTTGGGGTTTTTTTTCTAACAAAAGAAAACATACAAACTCATCTGTTGAGACAATTTATTTTGCTGGCACAAAACTCAAGCAGACGTTGACTGGACATATCTCTCTCTCTACAGAACATCGAACAGCGTTTTGGACACCTTCCTCCTTCACAGTTCCAAAAGCACATTTATTTGCTGTGCCTCTCGCCCCCTGCCCTGCACTGCCTGGCGTGGGGTGCTGCCCACAGTGGGTGCTCAATCAATGCTGCAGGCTGATTGGTGATTGGCATCAGCAGTTTTGACTCCACGCCGGGAGTCGAGTCTCCAGCCCTGGGTGAGTACACAGAGCTATCTGGAAGGCTAAACTAATTGATTTAGTATTGATTGGGCTGCAAACCTCTGTTCAATATCTCCAGAATCCACAGATCCTCCAGGGGAAGAAGCCCCTTCAAATTTCATCCGGGGTTCCTCTAAGCAGCACAAATTTATAAATCGCTGTGCATACCAACCACGCCAGAGTCCTTGCCCACCACCCCACCATCTACTCACGGGTGGCTCTGAGCAGATTCTTTTACTTCTCTGGATAGCTACCTGCCCCCTCAAGCAGCCAGGTACTCTGAGCATCAAATGATGTGGTATGTGCAAAGCTTTAAGTGCCATAGCGATGTAAAGAATCATGGTGATACATTCGGAGTATCAGCTCACGCCTCAGGAAGACTTCCGATTGGTAGCCTCAGGCCTTGCCTAGATGATTCCACCCCAACCTTGTGCCTTGTCATACACAGCACGTGTCAGAGGAACAAAAGGAAAAGAGGCTGAAGGGTATCTACACGAACCAACCACCACTACAGGAGCTCATGTCACCTGGTGGCACTTTATGGGTACATGCTCCAGGTCCCCAGCAGTGGGAGATGGTAGATGGAAGGTCCTTCTTCTGAGGCGGTCTGGGCTCCTGCAATATTGCCGTGGTCGGGGACTGTGTCCTCCAACTCTGACGTGCATATGAATTCCCCGGGGTCTCATTAAAATGCAGATTATGATTCAGTAGGTCTGGGATGGGAGTCTGAGAATCTGCACCTCTGAAAACCTCCCAGGCAGTGCCAGTGCTGGTGGTCTAGGGACCACACTATGAACACAACCAGAGGTAAAAGGACCTATACGACACTGATGCATAGAATTCTGTATATGGTATCGGTGTGCCCAGCTCACAATGTATATAACACGAGCAAGGAATGCAGTTTCTATGGTTCATAGATGGCCCTGAAGTTCACAGCAGGTGGTTAAGGGAGGGCAGAGCTTGCAGAGGGGGTGTTTGTTATCCCTTTACATTTACCATAACCAAAGTTCTTTCTGGAACTCAGGGTATGATGAAATAGGAATGAGGGGTTGAACTTTACATTCTGCCCCTGGCTGGCCTACTTAAGGGTCTGAAGGAGGTGGGCTATTAAGTAATCTGGCTTCCTGCCATGTTAAACCAACAAATAAAATCACACAGGGACGTACTGTTTACTGAGCACTTAGTATAACCCACAGTGTTATATTATGCTATACTTTACTGTACTATGCTATATTATACATACTATACTATACTATACAACTCTACATTTTCACTAACACCTTTCCATAGATGAAAAAGCCAGAGGCACCAAGAGGTCAAGCAGGCATTCCAAGGTGATTCAGTCAGCAAAGGGCGAGTCAAATCCAGGTTCTGGGCTCCAAAGTCTACATTTTTCTAGGGCACTGCACAAGCCCAGAAGTCAATAAGCCAGACATCAGCCCAGCAAAGAGCCCCTGGCCTTGGACGCAGCAGACATGAACCGCCAGGGGGGACATCTATCTCCCCACTGAGAAGAGGAAGCTCACCTCATGGGCCCTGTCTTCCTTTCCTGCTCCAAGTTGAGCTGCCTGGTGCACTCCAGGAACAGCCGCACAACTACGTGTCGTCAAGGGAAAAGTGGGGAGTGTGCAGAGATACTAATCAATTACTTAGAAAACTGACAGTCTGGGGGTTTTCGCTTGAAAACAAGTAAAAATATGTCACTTGCTTTTTATTATTTTTTAAGAGTGCAGTTAGATATGGGACTTTAGCATGAATAACCTCAGATTCATGTGCCGATCAGATGGATCCTTAAGATTCCTAAGTGCTTCAAGTGTACACATTTTAACTTGAAAAATTACCAGGTTTGTCTAAAGAAAAATTTTCAAACATAAAACACGCAGCTCATTTGAAGAGAGGAATTCTCCAATGGAGTGAACCCAGGCTGTCATAAAGAAGTTAAACCAGGCATAAAGGAAAATGTCAGATGTGTGGGAGAACCAGATGTCTCTCTTCTTTTTTTCTTTTTTTTAATTTTTAGAACGTAGATCAGATTATAGGAGAATATATGAATGTCTGAGCCTGGGCATCAGGAGAGCCGGGAGGAGAGTGAGCCTTGCTCTCCTGGGTGATGCTGAGCTCTCTCCTGGAGAATACATTTTTTTTTTTTAACTTCTAAATAAAGCACTCTAGAGTGGCACATTTATAACCACCGAAGAATTACTCAAATAAGAGACACTGTCAGCTATTTATTTTAAAAGTTCTTTTTCCTGAAGGAGAAGAGGAAAAAAAATCTCTCCACTTTCCTCCGCGTCCCTTCAAAAGGTTTGTGAGTGGATTCTTTCCTGGCTTTCTTTTTCCTCCTTAGGAGAAGAACCTATCTCCTACTGGTCTGAGGATTATTCCTCCTCCTCTTTCTCTCTCTGCTCTGGCCCCAGCCATGTTATCTGTCCACCTTCCAGGAAAAAGGGAGGGTGAGCCTCAGGCTCATGAAGTGGGTTGAGCACGAAGATGCTGGAGTGTAGGGTTGTGGGGTGCACAAGGGGTTCTTAAGTAAATCCCAGAAATGGCACTCACCAAGAAGAAGGAAGGAAAGAAGGTGGGGGGGGGGGGGTCTCAGGGGGGAAAGGAAAGGAAAACCAGAAAGGGGTAGCAGCAAGGAAGGACCCAAGAAGAGAATGGTTGTAGAGAGCAGGAAAGGAGCGGAAGGGAAGGGTACAGGTGCTCCTGGTCTGGCCCCGTGGGATCCAGGACTGGGCCCCAGGCTTCCAGCTCCTGCTGCCTTCCAGAAACCTCTCCGATAAGTCCCACTTCCAGTCGTGCCTGAGCTGTGGACTCAAAGCCAAGAGTGTGGGTGCCATCGTGTCAGTTGAGCACTTCCTTTTGCAGAAGGCCTGGGTGGAGTGGGCTAAGGCTGGGTCTGCCCAAGGGCTCCAAAATGAAAACAAGAATGGGCTTGTGTTCATGCAAACGCCAGAAAGCTCTTCACTGGGAATAGCATGGAGACTCCCACTGTGCTAAAGGGCAATGTTAGTTGGATGGACTTCTTTCTCCTTTTGGTGGGTGTCACCCAGAGAACATGAGACACCCTACTAACTGATGGCTGCTGAGGTGGTGAGAACGGTACCTGTGATCACCCTCCCAGTCTATATAATCCTGCCCTTTCCTCAAGCACCAGCTCAAATTCTTTCTCCATCATGGACCCCATCCAATCAGGACTGGTATCATTCTATAAATGCTTTTCTTGTCCTTCACAAACAGCACCCGACCCCCTTCTGGGCTATGTTAATTATTTGAGTGCTCATCCAAGGCCAAAACTAGGCCTGGTTCATTTTCATATTTGCCGCGGCGTCTTGTGCAGAATGGGCGTTCAACACAAAGACTCAGAATTGTTAATAGTAGCCAACACATTATGCACTACAGGAGGGCAGGCATTGCCCTGAGCATTTTGCATGTGTTAATTCTAATCTTCAAAACGATCCTACGAGGAGATGCTGTAGTTGTCCTCATTTTCAAAAGGAGGCAACCAGAGTAACGCGGTTGAACTTGCCCAAGGTCACACAGCTTACAGGCAGCGGAGCTAGGATTTGAACCCAGGTGTTTGGAGCTAATGCCTGCTCTTTCAGCCACTACCCTAAGTCTTCGAAAATCTCACCTGCTACCAGTGAGAATAATTAAGTCAACATTTTTTTTTTTTTTTAACCAGGCTCAACAATCCAACCACAAGACTGCTCATTAGCCTTAACTTTTGTTTTGTGTCTGCCACGTGTATATTGTACCTATAGCTGACTACTCTCGCAACCCCGACCCTTCCTGGAGTTTCACAACACAACAGTCCTATGAGATTCAAATGTGGGTCTGCTAGACCCAAAGCCCTTATTCTCTTTGCTGTATCACATTGGACATGGCATCAGAACAGCTTAGGAGAGAGCAGAGTTTCAGGCTTCACTCATCCACCTACCTCACAGGGTTGTTGTAAGAATTAAATGTGATAATAATGTCATGTACCTACGATGGGACCTGCAACGAAATGATTCACAGTAATGACCGTGATAACTTTATCATTAGATGTTTGTGAAGTAGGGAGATTAGCACCAATCTGAGATCTGGCGTCTCAAACCGCTTTCTCCATGAAGCCCTCCCTCTGTGACTACTCCAACCTTCTTTTCTGAAGGGGCCATGCTCTTGTGTCTGCACCACACAGCCCAGCAATAGATGAGGTCTGCCATACTCTCCTTTGGCTGTTTTGCAAGGGGCTCCCCCGGAGGGACTGCCAGAGAAGATGGAATCTTGTGGTGGGAAGCCCTTGGTCTCTGGAGTCAGTGACACCACTCTGTGCAGCTGCCTGGCTGGTGCGTTCCCTACACACCCCCAAAGGCCATCATTCCCACCCGCCACAATGTGCACAGGACTCTGCGGACCCTGACTCTCTGATCCCGAGTCAGGCAGCCCCAAGTCCACAGCCTGGTTGAACCACCTGTTACCGTGTGATCTCAGACCCATCATTTAACCTCTTCGATCCCTGGTTTCCTTGCCTGAAAGGTGGGAATGTGACTGTACCTCTCACAGCACTGTGGTGACAGTGGAGGCACACAGCATGTGTAAGTGGCTGAGCACAGACCCGCATGAGCAGGAACTCGATAATGTCAATTATTATTTTTAGAGCCTGAACAGAGGGGAGGACACAGAGGAGGGACGCCGCAAATGTTCATTGATCAATGAATTTCTCCCCTATAAGGCCTGGATTGTGGCTCTTCCTCCAAAGAATTCTTCTGCATAAGCCAACTCCGCTGACACAGGGGTGGAAGGCGGCAGCTGTTGGCAGAGACCAAAGGGGATAAGGAGCAGGGAGAAGGGACAGTATAGATCAGCAGGGACTTGTCCAAGACTCTACACATGATCCTTAGCTCAGCGTGGGTGTAAAGGCTTCCTGCAGGCAGGGCTTCCCTTCTGTGTGTCTCCAGCTGCCAGCAATGTGCATGTGTGATGCAAGAGACACTGCTCTGGTTGATGCTCTTGCTCATTCACCCTCCACATGTCCCCAGGCCGAGGTGCTCTGCAACCTGCATTCCAGGCCTGGCCCTTAAATGTGCATGCACCGCATTGCAGAAAACAGCCCTTCTCTGGGAGTCAGATGACCTGAATGTTGGCTGGGTCCAGCCCTGTCTCTCTGGACATTCTCAGCTTCTGTTGGCCTCAGGTTACTTGCCTCTACATAAGTATAGCCAGCAAACCTCCCTTCTGCCTTAGGAGGTTCTAGAAACCTCAAATGAGATAACATATGAGAGAACTTTGACAGGCATAACGAGCTACTCAAAAGCAAAAGATTATAAGTATCATCAATGTAACAATTATTCATTGTCGTGTACCCAGCAAGACCTGTGGGTCTTACACTTGTCCATGAGCTGCGCACCTGTCTCTCTGATAAGAGTATAGATAAACTGATTTTGGAAGGCTTAAAATGGCTATCCTTATGAAAATCTCAGAAGAGCATTGCAGGCAGAGGGGAAAGTGTGTGCAAAGGCCCTGTGGTGGGAAGGAGCTTCAAATGTTCTAGGAACTGGCCGACCAGTGTGGGTGAAACATAGCGTATGGGGTGCGGTAGGAGAGAGAAGTGATATATAGCAGGGGCTTGATACCGTTTGATGAACAAATGAATGATTTGGTGAGTGAGTGAGGTTGCTTTAGGGGTCTTGGGGACCCCACCTTCCTAGGGGTTCACATCTCTGTAGTGCCACCGATGGCTCGGGCAAGCTCGTCCTGGACTCTCTGTGGGGCTGCCCGCTCTCCTGTCAGAGACCCCCCTCAGAGCTCCGCCAGCTTACCTGGCTATCAGATGCCAGCCAGAAGCTCTGGCCTTTACACTCGGCTGACCCTGTCCACTCTGCCCACTCTGAGAACCCCTCCTTTTCTCCTGTCTGGCTCCCCCAGGGGGCCACTGCCCATGTTTATGAAAACTGAACATGTCATTCAAACCGGCACCTCTGGCCTCGCACAGCTGAGGATCAGGAGCCTGTATTTTTACCTCTCCTTTCTGTCACTGGACTTTACAAGCAAAGGCCGGTCTCCCCCTTGGCGGTTCCCAGAACCTCGCAGACAGTAATGAGTCTGGGGTTGGTGTTAAGCTCAGATGTCAAACAGAGTGGCCAGGGCCTCCCGAAACGCTGAGAGAGCCGCGAGCTTCTCCCTCTACAAGGTCAGCTTGTGTGTAACACTTCATTAAATTGCTCAAACACTGAGCCGTGTCTTTAACCAATACCTTTAATGTCATTTTCTGCAGACTTAATAGAGGAGCATTAGCATACCTGTCAAGTCTTCCCATTTAAACTTGGAAGCAAGTGAAGTTTAAAGTGCCTCCTTCAGCCCACAGTGGATTTGCCTTCAAACTTTGGTTTAAGAAAAAAGAAAAAAAAAAAAAAAAACAGAGAGAAAGAAGGAGGGGGATTCCTCTGTGGGGCCGGGTGACGAAACAGAGAATGTTCTGTATGTTGCGATCTTCTTCTGAGTCTCCCTTCCTGCCTCCAGGAAGTATGCCTGGGTTAAGAACAGTAAAGGCAACCCTCTGTATTGACTAGGAAGTCACCCTTTCTTGTCTCAGATTTACAGACTGAACGGAGCCCCATGAGGTCAATCAGTCCATTTCCCTGCCCCCCACAAAAAGCCTGCTGTCCAGAGCAGGGCACTGAACCATTCTGGGGAGACATAAAAACCAAGGCACAGGACGGTACTGGGAGGATATGGTCCTGCTCGCACAGCCAATGTATTTCATTTGGGCTTGAATGTAGAGGCTTCCTTTTTCTAAAAGGCCTGGATTGCGTGTGGATAAGTACTTAGCTCTGCTTTCGCTCTGGTGGGGTGAGAAGAAGGCACTGGAACAGGTGAGGAAGCCAACAGGCGAGGGCCAGTGAAAGGATCGGCGACGGCCTTCCTAGCTTCGGAAAGGAGCCACTGCTCTCTGGGTCGGGCTCGGTGCTCCTGGGAGAGGGGACCAAACCACGGAGCTCACAATTGGACCTGTCCGCTGCCCTGGGACACCCACAAGAGGCAGGGTCTGTGAAGACAGTGCTGACTGGAAGATGCCCCTTGTCCGTGAGGCATAGGGAGTGTGCATTTAGGACACTTCTGGGATCTTGGGAAGACCAGAGGGCAGGCATTGGGCCTTGGCGATGCCCATCTGTGAAATGGGTTCACCTGTCAGCTCTCACAGAGCTGGGGGTGGAGCAAGCTTGGGTACCCAGCATGTAAGTCCTGGTCGCAGCTGGAACCAGGATAATGAATGTGCTGCTGTCATTAAACCACTAATCGTTAATTATCCCCCTTGACATCGCATAATGTGCTGCCCAGGCAAAAATAAAATTGCTTGAACTTTTCCACCAAGTTCTAGCTTTAAACAAATTACTTGCATCAAAACTATTTACAAAAATGGGTAATTTTAGACATTCGTCAGACGCCATAACATGCTTTAATTAGCACCGGCTAATAAAGTCCTCTTGTAATTAAGCACACATACATCCCTTGTTTTTATTTAAAATTTTTGCTCACGATAATTTTTTTTTTTAATGATTTGATGTCTGGTTTCCAGAAGACATGTGC